GAATAAATAATTGTAAATGAATGCATGAGCTGAAACCATCTAAATATAATCGTTTTTAATAAAATAGTCTTTAAAAAAAGAAATAAGTCTAACAAATAAAACATTTGTTCTGTGCAAAAGACAGACATTTGCTGCTTGGTCTGGATAAATGTAATTCAATAAATGATAAAATATGAAGAATAAATAATTTTAAATAATTACATGAGCTGAAACCATCTAAATAATACGTTTTTAATAAAATAGTCTTTAAAAAAAGAAATAAGTCTAACAAATAAAACATTTGTTCTGTGCAAAAGACAGACATTTGCTGCTTGGTCTGGAGAGTGTGGAAAGCTGGTTTACACAAGGCCAAAGATCTAGAAGGCCAAACTACAAGAGCTGTACATCTCAGGGTCATGTGTAATCTAACACACATTTAAACATGAAATATTCAATTTGAGATGACATATGTCCATGAGTCAGCCCATTGGTCACTTAGGTAGTTTACAAAATGTATGCAGAGTAAAAAAATATAAAATAAAAAACTCTGATTTGGCATGATGTCCTGAGACATTGCCAGATGATAGAAGGCGTCACAAAACAGAACAGGACGATAATAAATGCCCTGACGCCCCTCTAGATAAATGTGTTGAGTGAAGGAAAATATGAGCACCAAGCAACAACATCAGGTTCTCCCCTGAGAACCAGACCAAAAATTTTACGTGCAACCCCGTTTTTAATCTTAGTCATTCAAAGTTTGCATCACTTGAAAAAGCTCACTTTCTATTCAGTGTCAGAGGACAGATGAAGAAACACAAGTAACAGACCAACTACATAGAAGATACAGGAAACAAATCCATGCGTTTGTACTTTTAGTATATTCCAGCATGTGAAATTCACTCACGCAGCTCAGATAATCTTAAGAAGAACTGACTAAATCAGAAAGCAGAGATGATTCCAAAACAGAAAACATTTCATTTATTCTACTTTAGAGATAAACTGGTATATGCAATACTTACAAGATAACATTTCTTTACACAAAGATAAAATAAAAACAGATAATGATTTGTACTCTTGGACTACCAGGATGTAGTGGAGTCACTGGGACAAAGGTCAACCAAAAGGCTGGAAACCAACACCTTGAACAAAACAGCTCATTCCACCTCCAAGATAAAATTGTCCAGATATAAAAGCTTTGCTTTGCGTCTAAATATGGTAGACTGGAACTGGAAGTATAAATGTATTATGAAGGAGAATTAAGCCATTCTTCCTTTCAGTCAAAATGCTAAGGCCCCATGTGTTAATTGATCCGAGTTTTTGGGAAATTGTTGTAGCTGAAATAAAACTTAAATGAAGTATATCTAGGGTTTTATTTTTATCGTTACACTATTGGTATTTTATTGACAATTTTATCATCATACTTCTTTTGAATCAAACATTATTTTATTTCTTACATTATCTTATACTTATATGTCATGCTGTAGTTCTTGTGAAGCTCTTTGGTCAGCTGAAGTTGTAAATATTCTATACAAACAAATTTTGAACTGAACTGAATTGAATATATACCACTTTAATAGATATTTGATATGTTATAGCATGTCTTCATTTAAAGTCGGCATTGCAACTCACCGAAGACTCTTCAGCTCAGCAGGCAGGTCCAGCTTCATCAGCTTCTTGTACTTCTTCATGTGTGTCTCACGTGTAAAATTAAGATTCAACACTTGATCCATGTATCTTTAAAACAAGATGAAGACTGAACATTTAATACAAATGCATAATTGTGACGGTAGACTATGAAGAGGGAAAGTGTGCCGCCCTCACTTATCAATGGTCCCAAACAGCCACTTGGGCTCTTTGTTGAAGGGCATAACCATTTCATGGAAGCGTGCCAGTTTGCTGGCAATCTCAACTGAGACGGCAGGATCCGAGAGCTGATCTGTGCGCATGCGAGTATTCTAGGCAAAAATGAAAAAGAGACACAAACTTTTTTTTGAATAATGGATCATTTCATGCTAGATTTTCATTTTATAAATGGAACATACCGGAAGATACTGCTCCAAGCGTCCCTGCGGAAAAATGCCATAAAGTTTTGGACCCAAATTTCGTTCTGCCAGAATGGCAAACATCACGCTTTCCAGCACCAGAGAGTCCACACCCTGAAGTGAGTCATGCACAGAAAAGTTAAAGAGAGACTGGTTTATGGAAAACAACAAACAAAGAAAAAAAACAGTGACAGTATTGACAGACAATCCTGGTCAAACATATACAGCGGGTAAAATAAGTATTGAACACGTCAACATTTTTCTCAGTAAATATATTACTAGAGGTGCTAATGACGTGAAATTTTCACCAGATGTCAGTAACAACCCAAGTGATCCATACATACAAAGAAATCAAACCATAAATGTCCAGAAATTAAGATATTTGTAATAATGT